GGTAATTTAGAGAGACCACATGATCACAAGTTCAAGGCACATATTCCGTAGATGATAAAAGGGCGACTGAGATCACGAACCGTTCCTCTAGACTAGGCAGTGGACATTTTGAGATTAGTCTACTTTGGATAATGATGAAATGGTTAAACGTAGATTTGAGTGTCTCAGAAAACAATTAACAAAGAATAGTAGTCTACTGGAGAGACTTAATGAAGCTGAGTATAAGCACCTACGAAGGGGGTACATAGTAGAAGTAGCTATCCTCATCCATCGTCAGGAAATCTTCGCTGGTGCCTTAGACCTAATCCGGTCATAAACCCTTGAAAAACAGACAGGTTGAGGATAGCGTTTGATGGTATGGCTACGCACCACGGTACTTCGTTAAATGATCAGATACTACAATGACTAAATACAGCCAACAGTCTGGTTGGGGTACCTTCGAGATTTAGAGCTTGGGTCATCGCTGTTGTGACTGATATAGAAGTGTTCTTACGAGTCAGGATTCCAAAACACGACAGACTAGCATTTCGTCTCTTGTGGTGGAAACAGTTCAACATGAACCAAGAGGTTAAAGGATTTCAGTTGCCTGCATATCCATTTGGTGTGGTCTCGTTACCTTTGTGTGCCACCTATGCGCCCTGAAGGACCACTGACTCCTTCGGTGTTGGAGAAAATGCTGCGACTGAAGTGGTTGTTGATAAACACTTCCATGTGGATGATTATTTAGCATCCACTGATGGCAGTCCTGGAGCTATTCGCCTAAGTGAGGGTTTACGGCAAGGTCTCGAAAGAGGAAGTTTTTGACTGACCAGACAGATCAGTAGCTATTTACAGGTTGCAAAGTGAATACTTCAAAGTGAACGACGCCAGATAGTACGAGAAATCGATGTATAGAAGCTGGCAACAAAACGCACGTCAGTTTTATCCTGGGTCACTAAAACGGGGAGTGTTTTTATGAAGCTGCCATACCAGATTGAATTTCAACTAGGTTTGGTGTTATGTCAACGGCTGCCTCTATATATTCTCCTAGTGCTCTTAAAGCCAATCCTCCAACTGGCTTTCAAGGTACTTCAGCGTCTGTGTAGAGCAGGTCTTGGTTGGCACAACTTAGTTCCCGAACATGAAGGCGATTATTAGAGTATAATTTCAAATAACTTTTGTAGAATCAACGACATTACGTTTCCGCGTTCCTTATAGCCCGCTCTGGGAAGCGGATACATGTACTCACCAATATCCCAGAAGTTGGTTATGGAGTGGTAGCATACTTCGCCACACAGAAAGCATGACTGAATCCTACTATCACACAGTAGTAGCTAAGGCCAGGGTTAACCCTTATCAAAATGTAAACGAAGCCACATATGAAACTCACAGTGGCTGTTTTAGGAGCTAGCCTCGGTTCTCAACTACAGACGGAATTATATGTAGAGCTTTTCCGAAGTATGTTTCTGGACGTATGTACACATAGTGTTGCGTCACGTCAAAAACAAGGATGATCAGTCAGGAACCTTTATGGCAAACCGGATTGCAGTGATCCATAACCTCACTAACGTTTCTCAATGGAGATATGTACCACCAACGCAAAATATCGCTGACTTTGTATCTCTTGGAATGGTGTTTAAGGATGAGGACTACATTATATAGTGAGAAGTTCATCTGTTCCCCATCAGTGGCCCTAAGGCAAGATGGTTAATCAGTGATACTGAAAAGCGACCTACATGTTGGTCGCTAGAATTTGAAGGCGTCACAACGGTTGATGTGGCTTTCGGGGATTATAGTTTGGATCTGCTTCTCAATCAAGTTGCAGACTGAATAGAACTTCTCAAGGCTGCTGCCAGGCTTTCCATGTCCATAGGCTATTTCTTGACGTTCCATGGGGAGAGAACCAAAGAATCTTTAACTCTAAGTACTTTAAAGACAAATAAGCTACGACAAACAAGTTCGGACTTCATGAGAATGGTTCAAGCCGAGGCGTTTAGCAAGCAACTGGCTGTCTAAAGGATGAAGTTCATCAGAATTGATGAAGTAAGTGAAGAGAAATCGTCACGACAAATGTCAGCCAATTTTAGATGAGGTCTTCTGCCAACTCTCCATCAACTTTCAGCTGTGTAACAACAAATCACTTGGGTTTTTTTGCCGCGAGATAGCCGCATGGAACTCAATAGCTTGATGTTGTTGCTTAGATCCGGCGACCCTCCATAGACCGCCACGCCACAATTAGCAGATGCTATATTTCTCGTCAACACTCATCTAGTCGGGACGAACTGGTCGACGTTGCAATTCATATGAGTTTACGGTTGCGTATTTAATGCTGACACGTCATCAACAGGATTAATGGTGAATGGCCAACTGATTGAGATCTCCGAAGATTCGTTTAGCATTAAAATCTACTGTTTCAACATCCGGAATTCGAGCGCTGATGGTCAGGATCTATACGTTCCATTGAAGAGCTGTAGAAACGGTCACACACGAAAGTGGGAAATATGGAATGCTAAGTTATCGACCTAGATGCAAAGGACAAGATGTTAACCAAGTCATAGCCCATCACATCCCTAAATGTGAGGTGATAAGCTTCATCTTGAATGATCCGATATTCTGGGCAAATAAATGGAGATCCCCAGTTGTAAGAGATTTCAACGTAGTATGCGTTGATTGGAACAGCTTAACAACAAAAGCGTCGCGGAATTCTTTTGACTATGGGTTAACGGAAAAACGAACTTACTTGGCTGTTACGCAGTACGCCAGGGCAGCAATCCGACACGATCGTCAGCATAATCCATCAGTCCTAGACTTAGTATTCTCCCACGTAGATAATGTGAGCTCCGTCCCAAATATTGTACCTACCGACACAAGTAACCGCGATTTGATGACCACCAAGTTCTAACCAGCAGTTTGGGAACGAATGGTCCGCGAAATATAAAATCCCCTCAAGAATGGGCTGCCAATAACGGATGAAGGTTTCATGGGATTTATGAAGGAAACTGAACATTTACTCGGCAACCGTCTATTGGTTCCACTCACATCCAATGTTGAGGACCTAACAATAACTCCAGCAAAGTTGACGCTGTTGTGAGAACAGAAGAGCTCAGAAAAACACAGGAGTGGGCGACGAGAGTATTGTCTTGCAGAAATAACCAAGAAACGTTGGTTCAAAGAGTGTTTTCCTTTAATAGAACAGCCTAAGCGAACGAATTCTGAGACATCTAGATAGATGACTTATCCACGATAGTGTCGGATAGATGGTCTTTAGGACTGGTATAGCGAGTGGTCTATAGTGAAGACACGTCAGTTAGAAAAGTAAGATTAAAAAACAAAGGGAACGCTCATTAGAGACATTTGTATTGTCTCTTTGAGGTGTCAAACGAAGGGTAGTCAGCCGGGAACCCTCTGAGGAGTACTGGTTTAAGACCTGGGGACACAGTGGGAAGGTTTGGTCAGAGGTTTTCTAGATAAACTCATGTAAGACTTGTAAACCACTTAGGGAGATCTGTATGCTAGCGTTCGTGTGTTTGATGCTATATATGTCATTGGATGTAATGATTGTAAAAAGTAACAGTAGGTCTTTGATGGTGAGTGTTGTGTGCGCCTTGATTTTATCCTAGTAATATACTCAAGAACAGTAACCCTTCGTTTTGTTGGACTTTACTCAATGTGTTTGTTTAGCCATGTTGAATTTCTGGTTCCGACTGGTGGCGCCGCCGTATTTTGATTCGGCCAGAAACTCTAGTAGTCGTAGGATCGAATGTTTGTAATTGAATTTTGTATATATATATTTGCCACCCTACTACCTCAACGGAGCTTGTAACACTTTCAGTGACCATAGAGAATGACTGTCATTTATTTGAACTGAAAACATCTGTTTTGACTATCCCTTCAGCAACTTCTAGTCTTTCTGAGTGAGGCATTTCGATAAAATAGGCACCTTTCGGAAGTCGTTGCACGGAACCACAGATTAAACACTTATGATCTTTTAAGGATCCTGTGAATGGTGCTCCACACTCACCATCCTAGCTTCTCCTGCACTAAGGAGTAGAATGTCAGCAAACCTACTCACCGCTTGATCCACATTCCAATCAAAAAGCCCTTACACATCGGCAAAGGTACGCGTTACTTTTAATATACCTCTACTGAAGTTGGGTAGGCAAATGTCTTACAACCACTATTTGGCTTAAAAAAACAAACTATTTAAACTGATGCACAACACGCAAAGTGCTGTACGTAAATTATGACAAGCAAAAATTAGCAGCAGAGTGTATGCACCACACTAATTGCGTACGTGTTATTCTCATTATGAAATAACAAGAGCTATTGCTCTTTCAGATTTCGCACTTTAATATCATAAGAGAAGATCGAATAAGCCTGACTACCTGTGCATTATTAATTGATATAGATGAAAGTTTGTAGAATATCACAAGTGAAAAGTATATTCATTATTTAGTCAGACAATTAAATGACCTCAGTTAATCCTATGCTTAGATGGAATATTGATTGGATCTTAAAGTATTCCAATAATTTCATGAGTAAGTGGTACTCAAATAATCTACACAGGTTTACGAAGGTATTTTCGAAGACACTTTTTATCCTACAAGTGTAATAACTCTTGAATATAATCCTGAATACATGACAGTGAGCAAGCTGTAACTAGCATCAAGTAAGCACTAGATATCATTGATGAACAAACACAAAGACTCATCTATCGGCCGTAAGAAGAAAAAATACACTAGTTTGTTCACTGTCATTGGGTACGGTTACGTTGTACAACGATGAAATGTTACTTGCTTTTCGCTTTTCTCATTATAGTTTTTTATAACTTGCGATAGCAAGAATTCACCAAAACGTAAACGCTTAAGGCGGACATAGTCGTCAATTAGTAACAAAAGCGTCAAACACTTGCGAAGTTCGACTCGTGTCTCATGAGTTGAGTGCAATGACTAATCCATCCACATCCACACACACAACTTGCTCCTCTCCCTTGGATGGGGATGGGGAGATAAAACAGATAGTAGGATATAACAGCCTCTATTTACAGTCCAATGAGAAAGAAATCTCAAAATCCCATATCAGAAATTACATTGACAAGAGATACAAATAAGCATATTGATTGAAAGACGTTGAACAATTGAAATTAAAATATGAACACACAAAGCAACTTGAAAGGAGAAGAAACATGGAGGAAGAAAGACTGAGCAAAAAAATGACTAGTGGAAAAATCTCCAAATACCAAAGAATAAAATTAATGTAGCAACTATTAACACCCAGAATAAAATTTTATCTTGATGAGTCCGACGTTCAATAAGACGCATAACTGTATTCGACAAACCAAGTGTATTCAAAACATCCATAACACGACGTTGTGCCTTCTTCAAAGTCATCCTACGATATTCAAAATATAAGCACAAAAAGATACAAAGTTAACCAAGAATTTGAAAATAAGGTTAAAAATTGTAGTAAACTTTTAAGAAAAAATGCAAAAATCCTACTGTAAGGCATAAAATCAACCACTTAATCGTACATAACAAAAGTTCTACATTGACTAAGCTTACTGGTGATCAAATACTGAGTGAAATCGTATCATTTAGCGGATGACGTCTCGAGAAAAATGTATGGCTTCTAACCACATAAAGATGATCACACAACTTTCAAAACCTGATTTTGATTGTTCTGTCATTTATTATTTCTTGGTTTAGAAACAGTAACATGATTTTTCATACGGCCAGGATGAGAGTTGCATCATTCCCAGTGACTTGACGAACAAAGATTAGGTAATTACTCAGAAGAGAGGGTAGTTTAGATACTACTGCCTAGAGAGTAACAACATATTTTAACAGATATTTACACTTCGGGCCAGTTTAAGCAGGTTTACTCAAACATATTTAAGCCTGCTTAAACTGGCCCGAAGTGTAAATATCTGTTAAAATATGTTGATACTCTCTAGGCAGTAGTATCTAAACTACCTGAGAACTAACTGAGAAGAAACACTAATAACCAACACCTATCTACAAAGTTGTATTCAGAAATTCATTAGAACATGCTGTCCGCGGAACCTGCAGGTCCTGGGTTCGATCCCAGGCGGTCGGGTGACCACTGCTGAGGAGTCCCATTCTAGGATGAAACACTTGCCCAGTACTCCCAGCTTTCTAATGCTCCTACAACTAAGCTTCTATAGTGTTACAATACAAAGGGGAGACATAAGAAACCCCATGTAGAATTCTTAGCATGGCAGAGAATGAGTGTGGTATTCGAATCCACAAACACACTTTTTAAGTCTAGAGATGTTATTGATCCAAAGAATCAAAATATTTTTACTTGTCAAATACCGCGTATTTACTGTAAGGTCGAGTACATTGATCAAACGAGCTGGATACCAGACTTCAGTGAGTTAAGTAATTGCGAAACTTGGTGATTGCAATGAATGCAGTGACAGACAATAGAGTGGGACAGAGTGACAGTCCTAAAGATCAGTTGATTTAACTTGTGAAAGAAACTGGCTACCAAAACTTTTTCATCAAGTCAACATTGATGTATGTAATAGAAATGCTGCAACACTTGTCCCGAATACCTGGAAAATCATGTTACTATTGGAACCAAGAAAAAAGTGAAATTACTACCAAAATTAGGTGTTGGAAATTATATGATCATCCTCACATGATTATAAGCAACACAGTTTAATTGAAACGCATTCCAGTAAATAATACTGTTCTAATATGTGTCATATGTATATTTAGCATGCAATTTTACTCCATCTAGCAGAGTGCCTAAATTATGCTACTTTTACAATGACAAAACTTCCTGAAGAACCAAATCAAAGAAACGCTAAGTGTAGGTCAATAAAGTTGACAAGAGAAGTAATAATGATAATAGAGAAGATCAGCAAGGTTCTATACATATTTTAGGACTACTATTATCAACTCCTTTCTTACTTGTTCTCGTTTATTCTGAGATGTTACCTTTTTATTCCTTTTTATATCTTTAGTTTTATACTACTTAGTATTACCGAGTAATATGGTTCAAGTTTCCTCATAATATATCGCATCCTGTTCGCCAATCAAAACCTTTAAATATTAGTATCTTTTTCCGGTTCATGATGGTGTAATTTCTTACTTTGTTCCTTGATGTTCTACTTTACCTTGGGCATTTGTTTATCTTGTGTCTTTACTCCATCATGCACGTCTTTCATATTCCATATTCTGGTTGCTTGGATATATCTTTTTCTTTCTACCGTTGATGCACTCTTTGCAAGTGCTTTGATAGCGATAAACCCGTAGATACTTCACGACTCAAAGTTTCTATTCTACTACTCAAAATTTTTCATTAACGTAGAAGCATATTTTAGACAAATCTTGTGTTTTAGATTTTACGCGTAACTCAAGGCTTTTGGTTCCAGATTTCTTGGAAAGAAATTCACAACTATTCACACATTAAACTGAATGAATTGTCTTAGAATGCACAATCTAAGATGAGATTTTAAAAAGTATCCAAGACTTTGCAAGCTGATACAGTAGTTAGTTAGTGATATAATGTGCAGAAAGATTACCAAAATGCCTGAAGTCTTAACCAACCAATCGCTTCGCTTCAAAACTTTGGGGAAAAAACACATCAACCAACATGTTAGTATCAGGTTGGTTGGAAAGATGAAAAATCCTGCAGAATTGAAATCTATTAGGTCTGGAAATACCCAAGATCATGGTAATATTTATACAAACCTTATGATTTGTACATATTGATTGATGTTGTGAATACACCTTCTGTTCTGTTACTTTTCCATTTAGGGAGAAACTGAGTGACCATTAAGGGTGAAATCTGAAGGTATTTGTACAAGTTTCTATATTTACATAATTCAGGCTCCATCAAGTCACTGGTAAAGATATATAAAAGTTACCTTAAGCCTACTGCACAGGAAGTCCACGACTGATCTCATACTGATTCCTAAATATCTCTTCATACCATGTATTGTATTAACTGACACAACAAATCCTGCTGACCATTTAAGTACATTGCAGTAGTAAAATGCGACTGTTGATAAATTCCGCTAGTTAGACTTCCAATCATTTAGGATAGCGTAGATACATTAATTATCTTAAAATATGTATCTTTGCATATGGAAGTGATCGGTAAACCGAAACCGTTCATTTTGAAATAATTAACTGTCCATCAAGCATGCTCACTCTCCATTCCTATTCAATTTTATCATAGATGTTTTTATGGAGGTCTCCTTCTCTACATCCAACTACATAAGGATTAACCTAATCACAGGAGAATTTTTGGTAGACCTAGAATACACAGATGAAATAGTCGTGAAGGCAATGACAAGATGCAGAGTCACCTCGATACCTTGAGTGGAAATTTGAAAATGTCTGGGATTCGTTTCTCGCCACCCAAGTATACATTGTTGCTGCAGGATTGCCTCGGCTAACAATAGAGAGTGAAGTGGTTGAGTGCGTTTAACACTTCACTTATCTGAGAAATCAGGTCAGCCGTGATGCACTGGTCAGTGGCCGATGAAATCTCTGGACGGATACAAAAGGCTCGGTTGGCGTTTGCTAACTTACGCCATCTGCTGCGCCGCCGCGATATCTGATTGTCTATTAAGAGTCGAGTGTAATATTCTGCTATCCACACTTTCTAACTGTATGGCTGTGAAACATGGCCATTAAAGGTGGAAGACATGAGACGGCTTCAGGTGTTTGACCACCGCCGCCTTCGTAGCATAAACTATGTTTCGTGGTGTCACCATGTGAGTAGTGCAGAAGTCAGACGTAGAGTTCTAGACAGGAAAAGTAAGTCAGTTGATGTAATTGTGAACCTTCATCGACTGAGATGGCTGGGACATGTGTTACTCATGGTTAACCCCTGTCTGCCTCGCCACACAATGTTAGCCGAAGTAGGTTCAGACTAGAAAAAGGCTCTTGATGGTCAGACTAAAACATGGCATCAATGTATGAAGTCTTTGACTGCTGGTTTGAGCCATGTTAGACGATGCATGTTATGAGATTGGAGTCCACGGGAGAAGAGAAAACAGTAGTCAGAGTGTCTAGGTGATATGGTCCTGAACCGATGTCAGTGGCGCAGATGCATACACACATTATCCTCACCTAAAAGACTGTAGTACTTGGTCTCATTCTTCCCTTCTCTATTTTACTACTTTCTACTTCTACTTCCTCTGGCTGATTTTTCTTTCCTTCTTCATCTTCCATTTTATTAACTTGTTACTTGATGTACTGATTTCGATCTTGCATTGATTTATATGGTCAGAATCGAGGTGATAATTGAATAGGTATAAGAAACATATAATAAGGGTATTTCTAGAAACCGGTGCTTCAACGATGAGGGCTTCAGCTTAACAATTAATAAATAGCAATGCTGATTACTGTTTGCAATATTCATTAAGCTTAGTAAAGCTATAAGACATATTTATGGATCACAAAAATGAAGATTTTAAACTCTGCTAGAGATTTATAGACAATCACAAACCACCACCATCGGGCTTCTTGGGTTCTTCTGGTAGCCATAACCAAGAAAATTACCATAATTAATATTCAGGCAATATCGAGGCATCCGCATACGAGCCCATATGCCAACAGAGGTCGAACAATTCGATTCAGTAAAACAACGGAGAATTACAAGTATATCAATAAATAGTAATAACTAATACTCGTTGTACAAGAGATGGCTATCATGCCTCCGTGGTCTAGTGGATAACTCCTTGACGTTTAAAGTGATGCGTACGAAGTTTGAGTTTAATTAGGGACGAAATCACTCACTAGGGTCCAGGTACATCCAGCTGACGCAATAGTGCATAGTCTTATGTTAATCTTGTCTGTCTGGTGGAGATCAACAGGTTGAAAAGATACAAGGATGAAACAATTAACATCAACAGTCGTCAAAGAGATAGGATATTATTATTATTATTATTATTATTATTATTATTATTATTATTATTATTATTATTATTATTATTATTAGGTCAGTCTGAAATCATATCACCAACAGCCTCCAAAATATATTTCAGTTGCGCACCAGATCAACAGTCTGAAACTAAATGGATTTATATAGTCCTCATCTGGCCGCTATCAACCTTTACTAAGCCAAATCTCACCTCAATTTCATAAGTATACTAACTAAGTGGTACTAAATAATAACTAAACTACTTTCTTCTCAGGTGTAAATTGAGTTCAACTGGTCACGGAATGCAACATAGTGACTAAAAGAGTAACACAATTGACCAAAGAATTATACTTCATATTTAATGTTTGAAAGTAGTGTGTAGATGAACTACCTGCAGAAATTTTTTTATGTTTACAGGAAGTTTGGCAGGAAGGTGAACACATAAGACCTTGAAAACACACCCATATGAAAATTATTACTAAATATCTCTGGTATCGAGAATTTTCACACCCCGAACCCACAGTTTTCGCTACCAACCATACAAATTTACAAAAGTATATAAAATAAGATTTTTTTAGAAAATAATTCCAATACTGGTCAACATACCCCTGCTCTCTCAAAGCACTTAAACTGAAAGCTCCTGACGCCAACATATCATCGATCTGTTTTCCAACATTAGACAACCTTGAATAGTGCTGCAAATCAGAATCCAATCTAACAACTGTTGAACCATTACGTACAGAAGCATTGGTAGAGAAATCATGAGATAATAGCTCCTCACGTTCTACCACCTGACGCCACTTTTCATTCCTAAGAATATTTATTAATGAGAAGAAGATAACTTTGTTGATTTTAGACTATTAATAGGCAATAATGACTCAAGCTGAAAGTTGGTGGGGATTTATTGACTTTAGTTTGACATTCGTCATGGATCGAAATCGGTTGGAGAAACATTGGAAACCTGGGAGCACTGGGCAGGTGTTTCTTCCTAATTTGGGACTCCTCAGCAGTGCATACACATTGAACTCCGACCCAGTGACTCAATGGCAATGTGTTGGCTGAGGAATCTGTAGGTCGTGGGTTCGATCCCTGGCGGGCGGGGTCATGGGTCCGCACTACTGAAGCTCCACATTAGGACGAAACAGCTATCAAGCGCCCCTAGGTTTACAATGTTTCTCTAGCTGATGTCAGTCCTTGATAAATAATGACTCAGTTTCAAAAGTCAGGACATAACACAGCGATTTAAAAGCCATGGCCAGATTTCAACAAACAAGAATATCTTTATTCAAGAATGTTTCTGTGTTATAGTGACCGTGACTGTGAAGTTCCATAAAACACAAGATGTAGACAAATCACTCGCGATACAACATTCAGATACGCTGCAAATATCGTGACTACTACAGGTGCGGCTGGTAGGATCGCCTTCAAAGTTACCCCTTCTATGAAGTATGAAGTTTGGTTTGTCTGCACACAGACAACTTCAGTTAATGCAAAAGAAAACCAATTACTTTTTCAACCCTGAGAATAAATCTGATCTGACAAAAACTGAACATTTAGAAAGCAACATCTTTAAACTGAATACCTCCTTACTGCATTCTAATTATCCTGCGAAAAATAATGTACATGCTGTCGCATAAGATCAATGACTGAGAAACAGGTGCATCCAGCTGAAGAGTCCCAAAACAGGAGGAAATGTGAGTCCTGAATTCCACTGCTAGCCACTAACCATCACTCATATAAAATCGAAACACAGGTAATATCGAGGCATCCGCATAGAAGCCCATATGCCAATAGAGACCTATCCATTAGGTCCAATCAACGATAGTACAATACAAGCTATAACGCTAAAATTATACCCGTCGCGCAAGAGGTGGCTATCGTGGCTTGGTGTTCTAGTGGATGACGCTCTGATGTTTGAAGCGATCGGTCCCGAGTCCGAATCCAGGTGGGAACAACACTCACTGGGAGAGTAGGTACATCCAGCTGAAGAGTCCCAAAATAGGAGAAAATGTGCGTCCCGGATCCCACTGCTAGCCAGTACCCATCATTACCTATTAGGGTTTCTTCATTCTGGCTGAAAAGGCAATTTTTCTCATAACAATCCGAAAAGGAATTGACTAAGTCAATAGTTTCTAGGGTGGTCACCACGAGTGATGTTAGTAAAAATCAAACCGTTTAGATCAAAAACTATGTGTAGCTGCATGTACTATGTTAAAGATCACATTGACAGATGGAGTTGATTCACCTGGATAACAATTTTCCAACCTGAACACCAGCCATCTGAAATCAATTGCTTTTGATTTATCCTTCAATTTATCATTTTGTCACAATTAATATCAAAGCACAGCGTTTCCATCGAATTGTATTTAACTGCTTCAATGGAACACAGGTTAACACGGGCTACCACATAACTATACGGAACACCTACCTACTAGCAGACCACAAAATAGAAAACAGTGTTTGCAGCAAGAGTAAAATAAAAGAATTAACTTGAATAATAATAATAATAATAATAATAATAATAATAACAATTCTGCTAACTTTTTACGATCCATAACTCTTAAATTCGTCTCATATTGTTTGCATTCAAAGCGTGTTTGGTCTAAACTCAAACGTAGTTGAGAACGACGTGAATATGGTTCAACAGTTGAAAGTAAGGTCGACAGACGATCACAATTTGAATTAATCTAGATATTTAATAATTTAAAATAAGTACAGCGATCAAAAGTTTGAAACTGAAATCGAATACGATGTCAAAAAGTGTATAAATAGTAATTAATTACTAGATGATATACATTACAGATCTCAGGTCTACATATAACATTTTATCGATCAAGGAAGAGATGGTGATAAATTACTTGAGTACATGATGCTTATACACTATTCGAACTTCAATACCTCAACGATCTTGTTCTGACTGACTGACAAAATCAACGTAGAACCTCAGATACAGGTGCATCGGATCAAGTTGCTGCACTTCGCAGAAGTAAACAAAGAACAAGTAGATAGAAATACGATGATATCAAAGTAGACAAATTTGCATGAGAGAATAAGCAATCTGAAGATAAAGGTTGGTGCGAATATTCAAGCTTTAGAAAACATCAAAGAATGAATACATCTGCACCGCCAATGTGACCGATTTTTAACCATGTCACCAACAGTCCTCAACCAAGCAGTTTACATCTCCCAAAATGGCTCAGATCAACACCAAAAGACTTCATCGATTGGTGGCACTTTTTGGTCTGGCCACCCTCAACTCTCTTCCAATCTAATCCGATTTTTTGTAGCATGGCACTTAGAGGTAGGCGGTGGCTCGGCGTGTGCAGTACATATCCAAGCCATGCCTGCCGATGAAGGTTCATAACCTCATCTGTTGACTCGCTAAGCACCCTTTGCCTGACTTCAACATTGATCATACGGTGATAGCGCCAAACGCGACCAATACCACGAAGACATCTGCGATCAAAACTCGGTAATTGCTTTATGACTACCACTTTTGACGGCCATGTCTCATAACTGTATGGCAGAATAGAACGAAATTCAGAGCAATATACTTGTCTCGCCAGTCGGCGCCACAGATGACTCAAGTTGATAAATGTAAAACGGTCATTTTTGTCCGTCTAGAGAGTTCATCAGCAACCCGTTCAACGGGCTGATGCAACCCCCCAAGTAAGTCAAATGGTCGACACATTCCACCACTTTACTCCTTACCATTAAACTGGGAGTACTTGAGGCAGACTAGTCCTGGAGCATCATCTTACATTTGACAGGTGTCAGAGCAACGCACCCCAAATATACTCAGATTTCTACTCAGCATCTTCACCTGGCAGAATAATATCGTTTACATACTCTAAGTCAACCAGATGACCTCCAGGGGGTAGGTCTGACGTACCCAAGGTTATATCCATTGGCACATCTACGACGAAGTTAAACAAAAACAGTGACAATAGGCATTCCTGGCGGACACCATAGATTCTCGTCAATTCTGAAAACAACTCTCCATAAGGCCAGACACGACTGCATGAGTTAGAGAAGACAGCAATATCGCTGACAAATCCAGTACCAAAGAGTGTACCAAATTCGAAACTCTCAGTAAAGATGAACTCCTTGAGGTTACACAGAAGCTCAAATAATGAGTACTGACAAGCAAAACAACCAGTTGTTCAAAGATTTTAATGGGTGCAAGCGCAGTTCACTATCACAATACAACCATCCAGATATAATAGTAAATTTCTTTTTTTTACTTGACTAACGAAACAAACTATACAACAGTCAATAAGAAAATGATTATGATATACGACATATTGGTTCACGTTTTCGATATTGTCCCGGATTTAAAAAAATAAACTAAATAGCACCCAGATGTAACACCAACAAAGTAACACTTAAGTCTAGTCCTAATTTTTATAGCCATTAATTCAGAATAGATTCATAAAAAGAGTGAAAAATTGATGAACTTTTACTCATCTTTCCAAATCATACTGCTTAACACTGTTAGAAGCTGAATAACAGATATTAGTCTACTAGGATCGCTTGTAATACCCAGTTGATTTTAATCATCATAATATTCACTTTATTCCAAACAATTATCGGAACTTCGTAGTATTGTGTCCTCTGAGCTGGGTTGTTTAATCGTGAAGCTTTCATCGTCTTCCTAGGCGACATCATCCGCAGCATTAACTTCAGTAAAAAGTGAGCTGTCAATATCTCTCCGTGAGTGATTTATTCACTTGCCCCGACGAACTGGTCTGCGATTGGTTGTTTCCTTCGATTGTTATGTCATTGATTGTATATACTTTCCTGTTGTCTGTTCCTCCACTTCACCTCTGACCTTTCTGTGGTTTATCATTTTTCTCATTGGTTGATAGATTGGGTCTATGTGTATACATTTGTTGATTGCTGACTGACTTGAATGCCATGTTTCTAGGAATTCCCTGATATTGTTTGTGTTTCCTCCGTCCAAAATTTCTACACTGTCGACATTGAATTCATGTCCATAATTATCCATGTGCATTGAAATGAGTGATGAAATGTCGTGACGTTTAACGGCCAATTGGTGTTCATGTAAACGAAGGAGAAGAGGGTGACCACTTTGTCCAATGTTGTATTGACTACAGTTATTACGGTTGATTTTGTAAATGATATTCGGTTTCTCTGGTTTGGTTGTTGCATACTTTGGCTTCATAATAATGTCTGCAGGGAATTTGTTGGTTTATGAGCCACATCAATTCCAAGTGGTCTCAGTAATCTTGTCGTAATTTCTGATACATTCTTTATGTATGGTAGGATGATGTGTTTATTGATTTCTGTCGATGACTTTGTAGTTGATGTACGGGATAGGCATCTTCTGATAAATTTTCGTGGGTAGCTGTTCTTCGGTAGGATGGACATCAAGTAATTTTCTTCGCTTCTCCGTGAAGTTGCTGTACTGCAGTGTTGTCGCTCTTTTGAATAGTCTTCACGTAACTGATCTTGTGTGTTGTTAGGTTGTCACTACTGTAGTTGAGGATTTGGTCAGTGTGTTGACTTCCTGTACACTTTGGTTTCCAGTTTTCCGGCATTTGTCATACTGACTAGAACATCCAGGAATGGTAGTCGATTGCTTAACTCTTCCATTGTGAATTTGATGTCGTCTAGAAAGACGAAAAAAGCTTCACGATTAAACAACCTAGCTCATAGAACACAATACAACCAAGACCATTCACCTGAGCTATAAATATTCTCCACTATTTCAAAATTATTGGGACAATTTTGAATTCTCAGAATGGTATATTGCAAAAACAACAACAAAACATATCTATGTATACTGGGTGGTGATTGAAGGTGAAATGAGAATTTGGACCGCGGCCGGACTTGAACCAGCGATTATCGGGTTTCCGGTCCGATACTCTACCAACTGAGCTACGAGGACCGACTACTGATCACATTCTTATTTCACTTCAATCACCAAGGGTTTTGCTCGACTACCATGTGAATTCGTGATGCGTTACTACCGCTTGATCGTATTTACACTGGCTGCCTAGTAAGGACTTCTCGTACCAATCCAAATCTAATTGAATGAGGAAGGGGGAGCATCATATTGAGTATCATTTGCTGGTAACCTGCTGGTAGCTAGTTCCAATACGGCCGCGGGCCAAATTTTCATTTCACCTTCAATCACCATCTAGTATAAACACTAGTCTGCCAAACCACGGCTATCTCCGATAGTTAAATGATATATATGTATATACTCCTTTAAAACATTTCGAATAGTGTTATGATAAGAATCTAATTAATGTAAAGAATATTTTTAAAAACGAGAAAATCTCACATTGTTAGTTAACTGTTGCAAAGTTGATGCGTGGTTTCTATTCTACCACTTTTTTTCCTCACATATTATGCGTGCTAGGTAAGGTACAGTCGAATTCTTATACTTAGCTGTACGACCGCATATGTAGTCTCTTCTTGTTCTCCATAAGGAGGTGCAAGGAGAGAGCTGTGAATGAAGTGGATGCCCAATGTCAGTTATAATTTCAGTAGACAGCTGCTTGCTGGAATTCAAATGCCTATCAACCACAGTGTTAATCAGTTGAGCCAGAGGTTCAGCACTCAACCTGCTGATGGCTTTCAAAGCCCTACGTAATATAACACAGCCTTTTTTATTAGACCAGAAAAGATCAGTGGAAGACGATAGTGAAGAACACGTAAAATGCAAAAATAAATAAATTGTAAAAGAAGAGGTTAAGTTATATCAGAGAGCCTCAGTTTTTTTATGTAATGAGTTAAAAGAAAGATTTTTTAACAAGTCAACAATATATGAGATGACCAATAAAGATCAGAAGTAAAACCCAACCCAAGATAGTTAACACTCGACTTACTTTCCGCAGAAATACCATCAATGAAACAAATGTCGAGAGATTCAAGCAGCTCATACAAGTCTTGTCTACACCTGAAGCTAAAACTAACAGTCTGACATTTAGAAGGGTTTAACTTGAGACCATTTAAGAGAGACCAATGGCCAATTACAGACAAGAATTCATTTAATTCAGAGCAATCTAAATGAGAGGTAACTGGAATAGATGCCGTCAGGTCATCAGCATACTTAATAACATTAGTTTCAACAGAATAAGGTAAATCGTACAAAAAAACGAAAACAGAAAAGAAGAAAGTACACCACCTTGAGGCATACCAGCTTCAGTAAGCAATGAAGTCGAGCGCTTCCCTTTACAGACAGTATGCTGTTTCCTTTCAGAAAAATAATACAGACAATTTGTAATCCATGACTCAATATGAGCTATGGCAAGATTATTTAACGACAGTGGTCTAGGAATAGAGTCAAAAGCTGATGAGTAATCCAAGAAGGCACAACGAACATTCTTAACACCTTTGTCGAGACTAGAAAAAAATATAACGATGTAAGACATTGACAGCATCTAAAGTACTCCTCCTGTGTTTGCAAGCAAATTGTTTTGGATCCCCGAAAACCATCAATGCAGGCTCAATCACAAGGAGAAGTAATTTCTCCATTGTCTACCAAAAAGGGGAAGTTATAGCGATGGGTCGAAACTTAACATCTCATCCAGAAGGTGACTTAAACACAGGTACAATTTTGTTATCTTTCCAAGCAGCGGGTATTGTCTTTTTAGAAAACGACGCACTGAAGATATCTGCAAGGGGATGACACAAAATACCTGGACATTTTCTAAATATAATACCAGAAACACCATCCAGACCTAAGCTTTGGGATGGATTCAAGGATTTAAGACATTTAAATACATCATGTGTATTAAAACCTGGAAAGCAGCTATCCATCTGACTATGGACGCTAGGAAGGATGAAGTCAGGTTGCCGAAGTATAAATGACTCATTTAACGCCCAGACTTCCAAACAAGCTTCTTTTGTCATCTGTTTCCTACCAGTAAACTCTTTAAATAATTTCCATATATTGGAAGAGTTCTTACAAGATAGGAACTTCTGGTTGGAAACAGTATTCAGACGTTGTATTTCAGACTTGATTAGGCAGTTAAGTCTATTAACGCCAGGGTGACCTCTCGCCTGATACAACCGTTCCTCTTCTCTCTGGAGCTTCTTGAGATAAGAAGAAAGTCTGTCGAATCTCAGGTAGATTGTTTCACTACGGCAGCATATGTCGAGACAGAATCTGAGGTAGCGTGTAATATTAGTGTTAGTGTTATCTAAAACCTCATCAACAAATATATTCCAATCTCTTTTTTAAGCACACCTCAAAAATAGTATATTCTCCTGTGAATAACATCTTTACTGGACTTTCTTGGAAAGGCATGCAAAAGCTTTCTTGTGTGATTTGAGGTACACTTTAGGCAAAACACATACAATACATCGGTCAGAATTTAGCAGCGAAGCCCATTTACGGGATTCATATATGCCAGGTTCATTTGTAAACACCAAATCCAGTGTGTTGTTAAGACGAGTAGAAAAGTTAACCATATTTTTATGACCCCATGATACAAGAAAACTGCAGTCACATAAGTTAAAATTCCCACAAACTATAGACAAGGAGTTACTCAGAATCGGAGTAGCAAAATCAGTGAATTCATCAGCAAAAGTTGACAAATCTGAGAAACCGCAGTCAAGTCAGGTATGACATAAACCCCTGTTATGTATATATGTTTGTATTTGCTCAAATGTTCAAGACGACATTTAATAGTAATGTACTCAATTTTTTCGTTAGAGAAGCTGAAGCATACATAGTTGGAGGACTACCAGTTAGTACTAATAAATGTTGCTATACCACCACCACATTTCTTCTTCGAAAAGCTTCGATCTTGTTGAAATAATTTGAAACCATCTAAGCAGACTAAGTCATCATCATACAGGTTATGAAGCCATGTTTCCTGCAGCATTATTATACCCATGTTCCGATAAACATTTGTGGACAAGAGTGACTGAAGGTAATCAACTTTATTCGGCAACGACCTGCAGTTTATGCTAAGTATTTCCGGAATAGTCATTTGATCTATGGTCATACGCTTCAGAGCCGGCTGCCACCCACCGTGGTGCTTCTTCTTAGATTTCCTATCAACTTGCGAAGCGATAGGTTGTAGTGATTTTAAAAACGCGCGATTGGTTGACATAATTGAACGATTAAAACAACACAGAAAGGAGAAATTTGATGCAGTATATTCCGTGATTAAATGAAGTACCCATAAGTTCAAGGAGGTTACATTCAGAGCAAGGTTAATTGTATTTAATGACGTTTAGGTTGAAATATTAGGGATTAAATCAATGAGTAACATTATAATTTGGAAAAAATATCAACATACACTTTGTATATCTTGATTTAAACTATAGGACAGTTTGTTGATTTCCTCCAGTTCCGATGTCGACTTTAAACTAAGTATCATACGTTCCAATTGGCCAACACTTTCTGAGACAGTGTGAAGTAGACATTTTGTTTGGATCGAAAGTTTATCGTAATCCATAGTAATCCTGTATTAAAGAAGTATACATAGTTTTTTTCAAGACAAAATACACTTGACCTTTAAACTATAAACACAATGACATGAAGTGACTTTAAAGGCAACCAATCAGATTTCGGTATTCCAGGCAGAAAAATAGTTTTCAACAATATACTGAAGTCTGATTGGCTATCTAAACAGTTGCAAAAGTGGCCTTTAAAGTCACTCTAAACATCCTATTTGCTGAGATAAGAACAATCACTAGATAGCAATGTTTGAACCTAGCAAGGCTGCTCAGATTGCCTAAGAAATGTGAAGGTATGGTGTAGAAGTGCTACATTAGGAATGTGCTACGAATCTGCAGATGAAATGGAAGTGGACTCTCCAAACTGTCAACTGGAGAGGAGTCAATAATATACTCTGATAGTGTCACCCAGACGACAACCACGAGCACAGCACACTGAGTTTTCGAGTGAATATCACGGTGTCCCCCTCCCAACAGCATCGAAAGCTCTTTCTCATGCAGTGGGAGCCAATCTCCTCCAGCATCACGATCGTGACAACAAGATTCAACTGAAAAGGAAGGAAAGTCACAACCATACAATGTCAGTGCTACGCTACGAACCTGCAAATAATGCAGATGAAGAGAAGTAGGAATTCTATAGACAGCTACAATCAGTAATGGACAAGAGCCCATCACTGATGGCGACATCAAAATTCATTCTAATCGGTGGGGTGGGGTGACATGAATGCTAAAGTGGGAGCGGAAAACATATGAAGAAAAGTCATCATGGGTCGAGGACTTGGTGAAATGAGTAAGAATGGACAAATGTTTCCAGATTTCTGTGCATTCAACGGTTTGGTGATTGGAGGCACTGTGTACAAGCACAAGGATATTCACAAGACAGCGACATGGATTTGATTTCACCAGACACCAGGACACACTAAAAATCAGACCAACTTCATTTCAATCTCAAGAAAGTGCAGATGCAGTCTAATGAACACAAGATTAAGAAGAGGAGCAGATGTAGGTTCACACCACTCACCATCTGATGCAAGGAACCTACCTTTAAAATCAAGTTGAAAGCCTCTACAGAAGTTGGTGATAGGCCAGAGTTGAAGTTGAACACCCAGAACAGAAACTGAACTCAGGGACGGAATTACAAAGGACATCTTCACGTCAGCCAGTCATCAGGACAAAATGGGAGACATTAAGCAACACCCCTGAAGAAACCTGAGTGGAAGAAAACTGGAACTCTTTGAAAGAGATGTGGAAAGAAACCTGCATAACCGTGTCAGGAAGGAAGAAAAAATAGGACAAGACAAGGAATGGATCCCGACGGATACATGGAAGCTGATAGAGGAGTGAGAGGAAGATGGTGATAGTGAAGCAGATGAACCAGTGCAAGGATGAACAAGGAAAAGAGTAATTGAACACAACATATGAAACACTACACTGGGCAAAGAAGTGGAGAAGAGTAGATGTGAAAGACAAAGGACACTTCTACGACACATTGGCAAGTGAAGCAGAACAGACTGGTGGTAGGAGAAACCTGACAATACCATACCAAATAACCGTGTTGCTATCCGGGAGGAGGGAGACCAACACAGATGAAACCAATGAGAGATAGTGAAGGAAACCTAGTTACCAAGGAGGAGAAACAAAGGAAACGATGGGCTAACCACTTCATAAAGCTCTTGAATCGACCACCACCACCTACAACTCGTCCAGAAATACCACCAGCAGCCCAATCACAAAATTACCAGTGAACACAAGCAGAAGTGAACGCCATAAAGTTGCTGAAATTCGGGAAAGCATTGAGAGCAGACACAGAGACAACAGCGGACATGCTCACACCACTGCTGCACAAGGTTTGGAAGGAAGGAAGGAAAGGTATTTGCTGGTTGATTGGAAGAAAAGCTACCTTGCCAAACTCCCAAAGAATCGAGACACAAATCTCTAGAAGAACTGGAGAGGAATCATGCTCCTGTCCCTGTCCACCCAGAGCAAGCAAAATATTAAGCCACATCATCCCAGAGAGAGAGACTAAACAATGCTCTACATTCAAAATTAAAACCGGAACAGGCTGGCTGGTTTCAGGAGAAAAAAAATCATGTGTGGATCAAATTCCGACGCTACGCTTCCCTTCACCGTGGAAAAGAGCATAGAATGACTGTCAACCCTCTACCCTACCTCAACTTCATCGATTTTGAAAAGCCTACGACAGCGCTGACCGAGAAGTAATTGGAAAACTGCTTGCTTTAACACTACGGCTTTAGTGGCACGAATCTTTGTCAACCTCAATCAACAGCTATATGTTATGCTATATGATACTACGTGACAAGTGATTCACACCGAAAAGCTCACTGACGCCTTCGAAGTGAAGACAGAAAGAAGTAAGACAAGGGCGCTGCCTACTATCACCCATGATCTTCCTGATTACAGTCGACTGGATCATGCGACAAAACTGTGCGGATCTTCGAGAAGAGGGGCATACGCCCAGGAGATTTGGATTTCGCCGCCAATCATGATGTATATGTAATGTCTTGTTGCACAAACTCGAAAGTCTACAAACAAAAACCAAGAAGTTGACAGAAGAGGTGAGCCAGCGAAGACGAGACTTCAAGTGAACATAGAGAAGACAGAGGTGATGAAGATACCCAACCAACAACAGCATCAGCATCAACAACAAGCACCAGTCCCCATAAACTGGAGAAATCTAAAGGAAGTAGACTCTTTCACCTACCTAGACAAGGGAGCATCGTTTCAACTATAGGAGGCGGCACAAATGAGGACGTCAAAGCAACCAGGATCGGAAAGACACCAAGACAGGCTTTCATTAACCTGAAACCAGTGTGGAGATCTGCTACACTGCACTGCACTCAGCATATAGAGAAGATCCGGATTTCCGACACTAATGTCAATCAAGTTAGTGCTTCTATGTGATGGTTGAGAAACTTGGCGGCGCGTCACAAAAAGCATTTACAATCAATTACAGACATTCGTCAACAGCTGCATCCTACGCTCACCCGATACTGACACTGAAGATCAGATCAGATGGACAGAAAGAATAAGCAACAAGAAACTCACTGTGACTGGCAACGAACCAACCAAGAACCCGCCACCCAGCAAATATGCAGAAGAAAGTGGATATAGATTGGACTAGGCATACACTGATAAGACCGATTGCAGTACCACACACCAGGCCGTCGAGTGGAATCCAGATGGGAAACAAGTAGTTGGGCATCCGAGGTGAGGGTGACATGGAGTAGATTGTGTGAGGAAGAAATGAAAGTATGTGGGCAGTGGTGGAGCTAGGTTGAAAAGTCTTCAGAGAAGAGAGTGAAATGGCGACTTGCTACTGATACCCAATGTTTCACCAGGAACTTAATAGACAAATAATAAATAATAATAACCTTTGAATTAATCATATTTCCCTAGTGAGCAGGGTAAGTTATAATATCGAATTCGTCTAGAAAGTTGAATGTAGGACAAAAGCGAACTCTCTTTGTACATTACCTACTCGACCATTCATAAAATTCTCCAAAAGGTTCTCATAATTCAATTTGAAGGTTGGTGGGGATTTATTCACTGATTTTAGGTTGATATTCATCACGGACTGGCATCGGTTAGAGAATTATTGAAAAACTGGGAGCACTGGACATCTGTTCCGTCCTAGTATCGAACTCCTCAACAGTGAAAATCCGTGACTCTTGAATGTCCTGGGTTCTATTCCCGGCGGAGTCATGCGTGTGCAGTCCTGAGGAGTCCCATACTAGGACGAAACAGGTGTCCAGTGCTCCTAGGTTTCTTGAAATCCATAAACTCGTCATTACTGATTGGTCGATTCAATCACGTCTCAAAAGAATATTCAAAGAAACGATGAAAAGTTGGCTGTTTTCCTATTTTTCTACTTCGATAAAAATATCTCAGTCATGAAATAGAAGAAATAGCATTGTCATAATATACATTTGACCCTTCTCATTCAAATGGATACTTAACCATTCTGTGTCATAGAGTATTAAAAGTGCTAGGAGTCTGAAGGAAAACCATCAAGTAATTGTTTGTTAACAGACACGTGTCCTAAAGAAGAAATTATTGCACGTAAATATAGAGCGATTTGATTCAAATTAATATCTACACAGTTATCCAAAAGGTAAGTAATCCACAGATCCTCATGTGAATTGCAAGAAATAAATCATGTTAGCCCTAATAACTATTGATCATAAAAAATAACTATAGACAAATTCCGATAGATGGTATAACGATGAGTTAAAATGATACACATTTTCACTTGACAGGAAATCCAGTGATCGTTGGTTCGAATCCCCCCGCGGTCCAGATTTTCGTTTCATCTTTAATTACCACCTAGTATAAATATTAGTCTACCAAACTACAGCTATCTCAGATAGTCAAAATGATAAGAGATATTTTACTGAAGTCTCCAGAAAACCTTTTTCCCTACTAGAAAAACAAAAATACATCAAATAGTGAAGTTCTCGATTTGAGAAGTATGTTAAACAGTACAAATGTAACTCCTGTGATCAAACAATGAATTTTCTTGAAGATGAGGATACTCTTTGCTGAATAGAAACAAAAAGTATTGGAAATACATTAAGTAAGGATTCCTAGTTAGCACCTACAATGAAACTATTCAGTGTACACGAAAAACTGATAGATGTTATCCTCAGCGTTAGATGACGTCCTTTCTGATACCTAGGACAATATTTACTATTTACTTAAATATTTCTTGTAACAATTTGATTCATTTATTATATATTTCAACAGTAGCGTTTGAAACTGTTAAAACGAATGATTTAAGTTGTCGTTTTCGAAGGAGAATAAAACTTGTGAATATTATACAACCAGTATGTGCAATTAATAAGTCTAGGTTTATAGCCCAATTGTTAGCTACTTTCAACCAATATACATAAACTGAAAGAAGGCTAAGCTTTGCTTGAATAGCATTACTATACTAAAAGCGGATAAGCACTAAACAAACTTATTTGATCCATGATACTATGGTAGACGCAAATAGGGTTATGAGGTAATAATAATGAAACAGACATCCTACCATATAAGATAGCTATATCTCTGACAACTAAATCAGCTATATGACTGATAGTATATAATGATTTTTAGTATTTTTTTTATAATACCACCATCAACTGGACATCAAGTTCCAAAAATCTAAATCTAATCAGTAGCCTTGTGCACATTCGTGCAGTAGGCAATGAGTTACACTTATTGTATGAGGTTTAGTGATAACTACCTGGATGCCTAAACGCCGGTAGGTAGAATTAAGTTCCGAACCATTGATACACTAATTAAAAGTCATCTCCCTGAACCAGTAAGCTACAGCTCCATCGAGTTCAGGGAATGACGAAAAAAGACACATGATAGCTGTACCAGTACGTCCTAGATATATAAATAACATTTTAAAAATAAAGAATCGGACAATAAGAATCCTGATAAATATACTAAACAAACATAACACTCTTGATGAATTGGATTTTCCATCTATAACAATATAGTATACTAGTAAATCAATCATCTTGTATAATCATTAGACTCAAGCAATTAACGTTGATTTCATGAACGAGTGTTATTTTCTTGCCTAGATGTTGAATTGAAACCCAGCCCCAGCAACTAATCCTAATTGAGTAATACCATCAGCTCTAAGAAGATAAGTGTGCGGCTCATAGTCTAGTACAAACATACCTGTACCAGGTTGAATTGCATTTACTTTATTTTTACAATAAAGATTTATAGGTAATAGGAATTCTACCCAGAATGCTAAACTTACATATGACTAAGAAATAAAATCAGAGACTTTAAGGTTCACATGTCAACTGTTATCAGATGGGTTATAGTCATAAAATTCAAATAATCGATTTTAAGAGTTCCAGTATTGAAACAATTTTTTTCTATTTGGAGGTTTGTGGAGATTTATTAATTGATTTTAAGTTGGATATCATCATGGACTGACATCAGTTAGAGAAACACTGGAAATCTGAGAGCGATGGAAAGCTATTTCACCCTAGAATGGGACTCCTCAGCAGTGCGCAACCGTGACTCCACCCCACCATGGGTCGAACTCAGGACCTTCAAGTTCCGTGGCCAGCACGTTACCATTGAGTCACTGGGTTGGAATTCAATGGTCCATATTACCTACTTCTATCACCTCACGATATAGTGCGACCCAGATCTTCAAGAACCCCATACTAGGACGAAATAGCTGTCCAATGATCCCAGGTTTCTGTTGTTCTTCCAACTGATTTCACTCCATGATAAATTCAAGTTGAAATCAACTAATAAATCTATACAAACCTTCAGACTGAATTATTCTAGCCCTTATTGGTGATTAGCTCCAAGAGGTAATTCCCGAAGTTCCAATGAGAGGTCGTGATTGGTGGAGTCAACCAAGTTCAATACGAGGACAGTTACTCAACGACACCATTATATTATAATCCCCCTCCTAGAAACTAAATAACAGAAATCTTTTTCTGATAATTCTGAACTTTTCAATTTAGTGAGATACTTGTCTTTTTTTCCTTTTTTTCGAAAATCGCAGTTTGCGCATCTGATGTAAGGTAGTTATCATGACGCATTATTATTTGCAATCAAATGAACAACAGATCATATTTAAAGCATCGTAGATGTGAAAAATAACATGAAATACCTTGAAAACTGCATGTTCAAAAGTAAATATACAAAGTCAAAACAAAGTAGTAGATTGTAGTCTTTATTGAAGCTTAAATTAAATCTACATTATTAAGAGGACAAGGATAACAATAATCGTACAAACTGATTATTATGTATATCACGAAATCATCGATCTATTTCACCAAATACAACATCCAATGTACCTGTGTGATAATAAAAAAATCTAAGTATGAATACAAACATTCGTAAGAATATACATATATATGAAGTCAATACTAAGTGATGATTGAAGGTGAAATGAAAATTTGAACTGCAGTGGGATTCGAACCAGAGACCATCAGGTTTCCGGCTTGAAGCTCTATCAATCGGTGATAGTTGGTTCGAATACGGCTGCGGTAAAAAAATTTTCATTTCATCTTTATTCATCACCTAGTATCAATACTAGTCTGCTAAACATCGGCCATCTCAGATAGTCAAAATGATAATATGTATCATCGACAAACTTCAAAATGTAGTGTGAATCAACACTGTACAAGTTGTACATGGTTATGAAGTATACTCATTTTTTAAGGGTTTGTAATACTATCCAGATCCTCAAACCAAAGTAGGCGCATAAGGTTCTGAACCTAGTAAGCATCATTTGAAAGTCAAGTTTCCAAGTCAAACAGCTACACCTCTATGACTGGTAGCTATAAAAATAAACGATTCAACTACTAGAGAGTAGATAGTGAGCGCATAGCTCAATGGTAACGTCTCAGAATTCAGCATTGGGTGACGTGTGTTCAAACCGTAGGCAGGACATCAGCTCTGTGTCTTGTTGACGAGTATCGAAAGTCAAGAAACTTAGGTCCAGGGTCACGTACCGATTCCCTCTATACAGCTAACAGATGGTGTATACACTTTATAGTATCAATAAATTACACTTTATGGTATCTTCATCTTTGAAATTATAGTATCCGAAAAATACTATAAAGTAATGAATTAAAAACAGGTGGAATAAAGTCTGTCTACTCGTACCAACTAGTTCAAAGCAAGACACAAGTACCCTAATGAGGAGAAAAATACGTGTTAGGAAAAGTCAGTCGTCAAACAGTGACACTGTTAACCTTCTCAGTGACATACTTTATTTTTAGATTTTTCTCCTTCCATTTCTACATTCGTAGTATCCTAAAAATGACTAACCACTCTTCGAAACAATTTAGACGTGAAATTTGTTATGCGAATAAAGTAAAGAAAAGAAAATACTTCAATCTGAATTGGATATTTACCTGGCTCTACAATTGTCGATGCACAATAATCTCCCGAGTGATAGCTGCTACCTTTACATGGTGATTGGGCTTGCATACCACAATGACCTAACGAGCTATGCTGGTGAAACACTTGTTCCCCTGAGGTCCTACCTTACCAGAAAGGTCTGTTGGATGGTGGTTGGATGAAAAGCAGTTACCTTCGTGGTGTAAATTACTGCCCTATGATGAGGGTCCAAGGGGCAAGTCGTACTGGTGCTAGCTGGATGGGGTGTGACAGTAGTAAGGTGTTTCCCTTGGATGACAAGCAGTGCCATGTTGATGTCGCCTTCTCAGTGGAAGTTAGAAAACGTCGACCCCAAAAATAACACACTCCACCATACTCCACGGTCTGCCGGATGGGCGGCGTTGGTTCATTTGTCGTTTCTTTTTGACCATCCGGCCTCAAAACAGCAAAAGTTCAAATCACCTGATGTGTGTTACAACAGATGGTGCAACTCAGTTGTCAAGACTTTATTAGATATGATTCAGTATCATAGACGTTAATGGTTATCATACTGAAGAGTTTATCGGTCTACTTGGATAAATGATACGAATATAAACAACAAACTGTGTCCGAAACGTTATCCAGTAAATAATACCGTTTCACTATGTGACATTTCTAATAAACATACTAAAATGGAATTACTTGGATACTATACGAAACTAAAAACCAACTGAAGCTTTTTTCAATGTATAAGACTGTTTTCCTCTTTCTAATTACTATAAATGTTTATCTTCCCTCCATTCAAACATGTAAAATAGTTTAGCTTACCTACTGTCTTCTTTGGTTCGTCTTCACTAACAACATCTCTTTCAAATATCACCACCATACCTTGGGAAAGCCAAATTCTCAGGATGATCAGCAATTAAACCAACAAAAACAAAGTGTAACAAATAACCGAATGTATAAAATCTGCGTATTACCTATAACTGCAACCACATCTGCCAAAAGATAACCACGACAAAGTTTGTCCAATGCAGATAAATGTGAAAATCCAGGCGCCTTAATTTTACATCTGTACGGCCTGTTTGTACCATCTGAGACTAAATAGACTCCGAATTCACCTTTTGGAGCTTCAACGACAGTATAAGTTGATCCCGGCGGTACCTGGATATCATTAGAAAGCAACAATTTATCAAACTCCAAAAATAAATAAGAGAGAATCATATGAGTAAAAAGTTACGGATTTTTCCTGAAAAGTAACGAAATATAGTACTAACCTTGTAACTAGTGCCAAACATTTACACACAATAACCCGTCTAGTGTAAAATTACTTCCGATTTGTGCGAAACCAACTATGCCCTCTCCTATCTAACAAATTGGAAAGGTGGGAATCACCGGAAAAGCATCGATGTATCATTTCTTTTTCAATACCTACTTAAATTCAACTCCGCTAGGGATGCCTAATCCTTAAGAAAAACTAACTTATGGTATGTAAATATTATTACTGTAAAATTCAAACCTTACTTTCGCGCCCATTTTTGTTGCATGGAATTTTATTTCTACCGCGATTTAGGATAATAAACGCTGATTGGTTCATTTCACACTTTTAATATACTATCTTATTTTTCCTGGCCAAGGTCATCTAGGGGTATATAAACGATTAATATTTCAGCTAAAAAGACCATTCGGTTAGGGTAAATAAGCTTCCAATCTCATTGTCTTCTTATTCTAGTATCAGCTGAATACTGTGATAAGAAGTTATCGAACTATCGTTAATCGGATCGCATCGAAGCATTATATCGTTATGTATACTGCAGATTATAACAAGCTCGAATTATGACTTGACTGAAGCAATATTGCAACAACTACATCAGTTTAAAAAAACATACATCAGAATTTATACATAAACACATATACCGGTAAATTTTTTGTTCCAGATGAGTGTTGATTAAGACACTTAGAAGTTGAACTCATCGATCTACCATATGAAATCAGACCCATGTCAACAACTAAGCATGAATATATAACAGTTAAAGAGTAATTCATTACATTTAAAATGCAGGAATACTTAGTGGTGTAAAAATGTCCCCGGTGCTCTACCAACTGAGCACGGGGTCGGAAATCCGATGGTCTCTGATTCGAATGCCACCGCAGTCCAAATTTTCATTTCACCTTCAATCACCACCCAGTATCAAGTTGGATATCGTTTTTGTTTAAATTGCTTCCATAAACAATGAGAGATCGAATCTTGGAATTTCGGTGTTTAATGCTAAGAATCGATAGACTAGAAGTCTTGAAACCTACATTTGGCCCTTATTAGCACTCCTTAGTTAAGAGTATTTGTAATCTTGATAAAATTCATGTTCCAAAGAAGAAAAAAATCTGTTTCACTTAGTTTTGATGTTAGAAACTCTATCACTAAGCTAGTCAGGTCTCAAAGTTCCAACATCGATGCACATAAGTCTTCCTAATAAAACTCTTTGTCAATCAACTAAGACTATAACAGTTGCTGTTTGAAGATAGAAAGGTCAGTGAAAACCGCACTTCAAGAAGGATTAAAACACGTTACTGCATATTTCTTTTAAAACATACCATGTAACCTTCAGTAAACAACTTGAAATGATGAATAAGCGCTTCCATTGAATCCTTCATTTCAGCACGTTTAGGTGGACAGATTTTAGCATCATCTACTCTGACATCACCAGCAGGCATTTTATTTATACACTGTTCTATAATACGCATAGATTGACGCATTTCTTCCATTCGGACTAAAAATCTTGATTATTGTACAAAAAGAGAAAATATTGTTACGTTCATAAAAAGTAAGTGAACAAACTAATTGAGTTTGATAATTCATACAGTCTACAATTGTTTAAATCGGTTCATATCTATAACAGAATATAACTGACAATGGAAAACATCGATTGCTTTTTTTTACCTTGATGGTACCACTCACTCTACTGGATATCATTTGGAGAAATCGTTAATAGGATAAAATCCATCGATGGTATTACCTAAAGTAAGACATCAGTCACCGAATGTTTGTTTACATATCGAAATATGATTCTGTAGTCCAGTTACTCATTTACTCTCAGTTTAAAGGCTTGGTAAGTTAGTTATCATATGAATAATATACGTGAAGGGTTTTCTCTTAAATGATTCACCAGATTTAATGGGATATCTACGTTAATAACTGAACAACTGAGCGAAGTAAAAGTAAGTTATTGGATGAATTAAACATACTTTCGCGATTGACAAGAAAAGCTGGAAGCGTGAAAAGTTTAAGACAAAGAAGAACTAAACATTTCCGATTTAGATCACGACAAGCTACAACTTTAACTACTTCAAAATACAGTAAGTTTTTTGCGCCTTACAGATTGTAACAAGGAAACTGAGATTCACTAAATTGCAGTGATTAGAAGATACTGTAGAATAATGACAAATTTCGAGCTGACCACCATGAGATTCTCCCTACATCAATCCTGCCCCAGTTCATGTATGCTCATAACCACATTAGTTAATGAGGTAACTGCAAAACACAACCTAGCATCAACTTTGTTAACTTGGTCGACACATCACAGGTAAACACAGTGGTGGAAGACGTACAATTACATTCTACGTAACCATCTTACACCATCTGTCTTCAACAGACTAAAATCACAGCCATAAATCAGAAAAGGATGAATACCAACGAAGAAAAAATACAAATAACCTGTGTGTGTCGCAAGCAGTGTTAGTCGATAAGAGACAAATTAAAGTTTCACATCTATATCGAGCTTTCTTTAATCATTAAGCTACCAAACTGTGAGCAGCATTCAAGAAATCAACCACAGGAAACGAATCCTCGAACCAACGAAGCATGAGAGTGCACGCAAGTGCCATATAAAAATGATAATCTTCAACTAATACTCTTCAACGATGGCTAATAACAATGTGATCTGTCCACGTTCATCACTACCTTGGAGTTGGAGACCAAACTAGATATTTCTGTAGGTTAGTGCTGATTAAGAACAAGTGATCATTATATATTCGCCTTCCAAGCTCTGTTAGTACGTCCACAGTGATATCCACCTAGAGTTCTTTCTTCCCACACGCAAAGCGACGTAAAAACCCCAAAGAAACATGTATTGATTTGAACTATCAAAGTTTAACACGAAATACAGACAGAAAACCAAAGAGATAAGTATTCGTAAGATCAAGGGGAAGGTAAAGATGAATACATCTGTCACATTGCAGTCAAGTTAAATACATAACCGAATATTCAGTATTAAGAAGACTGATAAATCAAGTTGCAAATAAAAATAAACTATTTAGACTGATCACTGATAAACGAAATATATCCATATAACATAAGTTACATGAAATCAGTGAGATAAACTGACCGATCATAGCAGTCCCCATGAATACCTACTGGCACATCAAATTCTATATCTGCATAAGCATCATAAGGTTCCGTTTTACGTATATCCCATTTAACCCCACTCCCACGAAGCATAACTCCAGAGAATCCCATATCTAAAGCATCTTCAGCGCTAACAATACCGATATCTTTCGTACGAGAAATCCATATAGGGTTCTCTTGCACTAAATCACTGATCTGAAAGCAATGATACACAATGAATTATTTTTATTATGAAGTTTGTGGCTTTTGTTATGTTTTCTTTATCAAAAAAAAAGTTAAAGGAAACCAAATATGTGCAATAAACAACGAAACTGGATGTAAATGTGACTATTAATGAGAGAATCATAAATCCAGATAGGTCAATAGTTAGTCATAAATTGCTACAGATAGCTACAAATAGATAGCCAACAGGACAGCTACATTCGTATGCTATTTGATTACTATGCAAAAAGCTGTAGAAGTGTCGCACTACCCGTAGAAATAGTCTGACTTGCCGTGATGAACTGTTTTTGGAGGGGATCTCTTGACAACTATACAGACTATCCCCTTTATCAAGCTATCTAGTTAACTAGTAATTGTTCTGTTCAAAATAATGTAATTCATCCCTAGTCCTATTTTTTTTTCATTATCAAATCATTACTCCCTCCCAACGTGATCCTAGCTCTGTTTGACGTAAGTAAATGATTCACTCTGTGTTGCCATGCTTCAGTCAATGTCTTACTCTGTACTATGTATGTATTTCTTTATTGCACAAAAGTGTATAAAATCCTGTATATAGAGTAAAAAGCTGACGAGTCCTACTGAAACTTATGAATTCAATAAATCCTGCTTTAATTACATTTGTTGTTTGTCTTAAACTATGGACTAGTTTAATATAAGCACAACTTATGCGAATCTGATTAGTTCCTTCTCATACTAATTTACACTGCATTTACTCACTTTGTAAATCCTAAGTTTGAAAACGTTATAACTCTAAACTTTACAACGTCATATACTAACCTTGTATACACTCTGCAACGATTTACTGAAGGCTGTCTACAGTCACTACCACTTTTATTTACCACTTATCTTACCCTCTTTACTGCAGCATTAAAATCACCCTCTACTACGATGACATCTGTTTACGCTTGACATTTTCGAATGAGGCTAGACAGCTTCCGATAATATCAAACTTCTTATAGAACAGAGTCAATAAATATATAGACAAAGACTGTAAAAAGATGTCGCAGATCCTTTCGAGTTTCTACCACTACACTCAATCAAATATCGAACATATGACTGCTACCTCGAATCCAGTCAGCAACGTCACATAACAAAATATCATAAAGTCTGCAAGCTACTAGATGAACAGCACTAAGATTGACAGTGAAACACAAAATATTTAACAGATGAAAGATAATTTTCAGTAAATAAACATTCAAAAGACCTACTTCATCTAATCGTTGTGGGAATTTTTTTAAGAATTGATAAATATCATCCATTAATCCAAGTGGCATATCGAAAGCAACACCTCCTGGACGAATATAAGCTGCATGCATACGAGCACCAGATACACGTTCATAGAATTCATACATTTTCTCACGTTCTTCAAATAGCCAAAATATTGGAGTAATACCTCCAATATCCAATATATGAGAACCAACAGCTAAACAATGATTCATTATTCTAGTTATTTCAGCGAAAAGAGCTGAAAAAAAAAATAATAAACAATGAAACCATGAGTCATTATTAGTACTTTGCATATCTTAGTTCTATGGAGTAAAGATAGTGAATACACTAACAAACATTATGTTAAGACACTTCACTTAGTTGTGCTCTTGGTCCGTTTATTATATCAAAAGAGATTTTAAAAAATAAAACAATTATACAAAGACTGTCTCAAAAAAACCTATGAAGAACAAGATAAATCAATGTGATTATATAATTCAGTGGTTTATGGTCATTGGACTGACTTCAGGGTAGAGTTCATAACTAACTGACATTAGTTGGAAATAAACTGAACCATTGAGAGCACTGGACAGTTGTTTTGTACAAATATAGGATTTCTCAGTAGCACGCACCTAAGCCTCTGTCACGGATCAAACCCAGGGTCTTCAAGTTTCACGGAGACCAGGTTACCATTAAGATATTAGGGTTGAAATCTAATGGTCTATATTTCTGTCAGTTGGTAACATAGCGTGACCTTCATCCAATGACATCACTGACTATCTATTCACAAGTTTGACTTCGTTTGCCCCATTTTTATTGATTGTCATTCGCCTCAGGCTTCCACACCCTAATTGCCTAACCAGATTGATAACAGCCTGTCTTCATAATAATAGGAAATTCACTTCATAGTTATTAATAGAAGAGTATTACTTGTGCACTGTGGTAGAATGTTATTCCATTTTTATTGATTTATTGGACTTGTCACGTAGTGTATTAGTATTGTTTACTGGATTACTTTTCGGATATAACTTACTGTCCATATTATCCTATCAGGATAACTACACAACTTTGAGATATCCTTTATATATTCCTAATTTCCTCGTCCCCTTTGTGATACGAGTAGTATGATTCTCCACATATCCGTAACGGATGCTGAGTCATTCCTGTTGCATGTATTCGGTATTGATTCGATAAACACAGATTCAGTTAAGAATGTCTCCCTCTACACCTCTACTGTGGTTGACGTATTTATGGACAGTTGGGAATGGATCGCTGTCGACACGTTTAGTCCTGCTGCAAAAGTACAGTTTCGATATGCAGATGACATATTTCCAGTATTAACATCGGAGCGCATACATAATTTCTTCACACATATAAATTCAGTAGTCAACGCAATTCAATTCACCTATGAATTAGGAAATAGTGAAGGGGAATTAGCAACGTTGGATTGCAGAATAAAACGGAAACAAGATGGGAGTTTAGACACCAATGTTTACAGAAGACCTTCACATTCAAACTATTACTTATATTTTGAATCGTTTCATCCTATGTCAGTTAAAGTTGGCTTAGTAAAGCGTCTAAGTAACAGGGCCAAAAAGCTTACTAGTAAAACAGGAGATCTAAAACAAGAAACCAGATACATTAAAGACGCCTTACTCATCAACAATTACCCCCCCCCCCATATTAATTGGCAAGCTCTTTAGGAATTGTAAAAATATCAGTGACAGTTATTATTAGTAGTAATAATAGTGGTAATGACAGCAACAATAATAGTAATAACAGTGTTAATAATGATGTTAATAATAGTAGCGGCAATACTGTGAATAAAGAATTCAAAAGCTCTACGGTATTACCATACAAAGAAGGCACTTCAGAAACACTACGTAAAATTCTCAATAAGGCTGGGATTAAAGTGGTATTTAAACCTACAAACTCACTTTGAAATAAGCTTTGTAGGTTAAAAGATCCTATTGACCCAATTGAGCAGAATAACTTACTTTACCAAATCCCTTGCATCGAATCAATACCGAATACATGCAACAGGAATGACTCAGCATCCGTTACGGATATGTGGAGAATCATACTACTCATATCACAAAGGGGACGAGGAAATTAGGAATATATAAAGGATATCTCAAAGATGTGTAGTTATCCTGATAGGATAATATGGACAGTAAGTTATATCCGAAAAGTAATCCAGTAAACAATACTAATACACTACGTGATAAGTCCAATAAATCAATAAAAATGGAATAACATTCTACCACAGTGTGCACGTTTTACTCTTATATTGATTCGCACTAGAACTTTGAGAAATCTAATCTCGAAGCGACTCACTAATGAAGAGCACTAGATAGTATTTCAGTATGAAGGTTTGTGGAGATTGGTTGATTTTAAGGTTGTATTCACGGAGAGAGAGAGAGAGAGGGGGGGGAGAGAGAGAATAGCTGAACAGACAGAAAATTAACATAGAATGGACTATAGATGGACGACTTAGTCAATGCAACACTGGGTTACTACGCATACGATAGTTTTCACTAATCAGTACACGATCACTTTGCACGACGATTTAAATCCACATGAAATTTTATTCCGTAGCAGAAGAAATACATGTACAACCAGATAGATAGAATGATGCAGCTTCCTCGTAAGATAGAAACCATACCTAATCCTGATACAAATAACAAACAGAACACTATTCACTATGAGTAAATACGTTATAACTTACACGATAGGCTCAAATAGAACATTAAAAATGGTTCACAGTAATACACCGATGTCCAATTAATGAGCTATGTGATTTAGGTAACTTCAACCAAACAGTCTGCAGTGCAGCCAAGCTAAACATTAATCAAATAGTGCTGAACACATTTCAAATGTATTCCCCCTAACTCAGTATTGTCATTTTCAGATAAACACTCAATAATTATCGAATATAGGCACTTAAAATCTTTTCATACCATAAAAGTATACAAAACACTCATTTTTCATAAGTTAGTACTAGTAAGAAAAGTTACAAAACAATGAGTAACGAAGTATATAATATGCATATATGCTTAACTAACTTCGAATATATTTCGCACGAGGAGGTATTTCAATATTTAGTAGCTTCTCCACAGCTAACGAAAAACACTGTTCATTACACATCATAGAAGCATAATCAAGTCGATCAAAATACGGTAAAGCCTAGGAAAAACGAACAACACCTGCATTATAAGAATATTTTATTGAAATATTAGAAAAGAAATTATTCCCTAGTTAGCTTTACCAGAGGTAAACAAAAACTGCTTGATTACTCTTGTATGGATAAGAACACTTAGTATATACCCATCTGTAGATTTTCATGACGAAAACAGTACATTAATAATGCAACACAGTAAATATAGGATAGTATACGAGGAAATGAATCATACCTACTATGTGGTGATTGTCGATTGTAAACGGTATCCTGAGTTTCAGAAGATGAGGCGGGACTTGGACAAAGAAATACCACTCGGAAACTGACGATACTAGTTTTATGATTATTATTATTATTATTATTATTATTATTATTATTATTATTATCAGAACACAAGTGTGGTACAACAAGGGCACCAAGAAATGCGTCACACAAAATAATATAACAACATTATGAAGACATAAAGCGATGGGAAGTGGAAAAAAATATAACACAATGACAATAAAATGATTAAAAGGCCAGTTCAGTAAGGTACATTCAAAACAAAACATTCAATACTTTTCAGCAGCAGAAGATAGAAAGAAACTACAGAATGATTACCACTGGTTTCGATTAGGAGTCATATCTGATAACGTCTCAAGCTAATCAACTGCATGATCTCTCGGACCCCACTCAGATGTTAACCCCATACAACTATCCTTCATCTCACGGCGCCACGTCAGGCACTAATGGCTCCTCCGCACCTTCCGTCCAGTTCCAGGGCTGGCCAACAATGAAGCCGTTGGTACAGCATACATAACACATGTCCAAACCACTGAAGACGGTGCTTCCATATGACTTCACCTATTGAAAGACGACTTCCATCATGCCCAAACACACGCTGTCGTACTTCAGGATTATTTACATGGTATTGCCACCAGATACGAGCAATCCTACGGAGAAAATGATGATCGAACACACAGAGTTATCGCATATCCTTAGCTGAAAGAGGCTGGGTTTTACAGGCGTAGAGTAGAACTACTTGCACCGAAGCAATGTAAACCCGACCTTTTACGGTCAGGCTAACGTCGGGACGGCACCAAAGGTGGTTGAGATTGGGGTATGACACTCTGGCTTTCGATATGCATTCGGAAACTTCACCACACACAACTACTTAGATACACAAACTTTTCGACTAATTCCAACGCCTCACCACCAAGGGTGAGTGCAGGTACAGGCTCCTGCCAATGTTGCAAGATTACTTTGCACTTCGGTGGTGATAAGCACATACCATACTTAAGGACATCAGTTAACAAGCCGTATATGCATAACAGTAAGATTACATGAGTATTCTATCCTTGTGAAATATGGTAGAAACCTTACAAAGACTGGGGATTCATTAGCTCAGGGTACAACCCAAAAGAAACGATAAGCGACAACAGATAAACAGATTTTCACTTTCGATAATACTTGCCCAAATTTATCCACCTACCGCTAAACTTACGGCAGGAAATGATATCGCTCATATGACTTCCCTGCGCTAGTAAGAAAAGGAGAAAGAACACACTCAAATTACAACCTCAACGGTAAAACGTTGTAGAGGAAGAAATAGATGTATTGGATGTTGTGTTTACTGTGAGCTAACAAACAAGTCTTGGTTCTTTGCCTCAATGAAAGTTGTGACAATTGACCTTGTAAAACGGCTGGTTTATCAATAACAGCTAAAAAACATAATTATTTTGGTTAGGTACCAAACAAGCAACAAGAAATGCGCCACGAAAAATAATGAAGTCATCTAGAGGAAGAAAAATAAGGGGGGAAAACAATCAGCAAAAAGCAAAGTCACAAAGAACACACTGAAGCATGTCCCATTACCTCTGTATTACGTTTCACCAATATCAGATGCAACAAATGTATAAAATTATCATTACTCGTTTCGATTCTCAGCCGTATCTCATAGTGTCAGGCTATTGAGTTCAGTAGCCTATTGGATCATAGTCAGAGTTGTGATTTACCAGTAGAGGCTAATTACAAACAAAAATCCTACACTAACAGTACCATATTATGAAGTGATCACCACTCTATACTTTATAGTCAGAAGGTAACGAGAGAGAGAGAGAGGCCGTAGAAATGTCATGGGTAAGATGTGTTAGACCAGAAAAGTCGAAGTTGAGAAAACAGCCAGAGAAAATGATGAATTTTTATCTCTGCTTTCTGTATAGGTTTCTGAATGGTTTAAAATTCAATATGGATGATACTGCATTCAAAACATTTCTTTCAAACCAGTCTTACAACAAGGGAATACTCATCGGCGTTAAATCATCATTTTGACCCAAAGATGGGATTTGACTTGATCGATCTAGGTTTTGGGACAGTGTCTGACTGTGAAAAGAATACCAAGGATGTGTATTATGAGAATCAAGGTTTTGTACTCGAACTCACATAGTCGTGTAAGGGTTTACGGAAGGTTTTCTTCTGACGTAATGACAACCAGTGTGCTCACAAGGGATATTTACTACCATCTCTTTTACTCAACTGCATTATAGATACACTAACAGATGTGATCTTAGCTCCCTCTGACTTCCCAGGAATTGGCTTCCTACTAGAAGATTATATGATTAACTTCGAATGCACAAATGACTATCGTACTGAGTGAAAATATTGACAAAACACTGAGCCTCTGAAAGCCTTGAACCTAAATCTGAGCTTTTTCGCTATGGACTTCAAACCTGTAGAATGCAAGATGATGATTCAGCAATCGTGAGAATGGAATAATAGTTAGAGGATGGACAGAGAAGTGGAGCATTATTATTAAATTTTCCGGGAAGTTATGGCAGCTCACATAGAACTAATGCTGATGAAAACGCAGTTCAGACACAAAGATTTGTCAACATACCTCAACCATGGTGTCAGCGAGATACCTGGTTACATATCAAAGGATGCTTTTTCGTTCTATGCTTTTATAGTAATTCTGTTCACGCTCCTACGTTAATTTATTTGTCTGCTCCAAACATTGAATTATTACTCTGAAACTCGACCTACCATGGTTTCAAGAGTCAATTAGTACAATTAGCTATAAAACAGTAAGCATGGCTTCTTGACTTCTATACAGGCCTTTACTTAGTTGCAAAATTGCATTGGCTTTGCATGATCGACTTTCAGTCATATCACCTGGAGTCTGCAACCACCTATTTAGGTTGCCTTGCAGGCGCTCCAATTAGATCAGCTTGTCAATAAAAGAAATTGAAACCTTAACACTACTGAATAAGAATCCAACTTGCTGCAGATCACATCGGCATACCAAGATACAAAGCGACGAGATGAAAAGTCAGGGAAACATGTAAGATGGAAAAAAGGTTAAAGCAAATAACGAAATGCCACATAACAGCTAATATGAAGATAAGGTACTGATGCAACCACGCCACTGTGATTGAATCTGAGTCGTTACACCTGGAGTCTCCAACCACTGATTTTCATTACAACGGAGGACCAACATGGAAACCTAGGCCCCTTTTAGATGACCCACATTAACAGTTGCAAAATTCAAGGACTGATGCTACTTTTCTCTCCAGTACACTTTTTTCTCCGATTTACTATATCAGCAAACATAACATGTCAAAAGTAGACGATGGGTTGAAATATGTAACTCATGTCCCAGCCACTTCATTTGAAAAGCGTTTACAATCACATCAGCTAACTTGCCTCCTTTATCTCTATATTCTTCAAAAATTCGATTTTTCAGCCGTCGTTGATTGAGCATCTCGACCTTTATCATATCCTTTAACTCCAATGACCATGTCTGTAGGTGTATAGAAGAGTAAAGTTAACTGCCCTGAAGTATACTAGACGCTTAATAAACTATCAGATATCTTATCGGTGTTACAAGTGGAGTAAATTGATAAAAGTCAATCGAACCTTTTCTACCTATGATGAGATTTCTGAGGTTATCGACGCACCAGGGTTGATTCAACTTCCCAAGCAAATGAAGTGGTCAACACATCCAAACACTTCGCCAAACACTGTCAGACAAGGAGCCAGTTCTGAGGCAACAAACTGCATTTCTGAAGTTAGAGATAGGCTTAGTACTATCAAACTATCGCTAAACGTGTTCAGTAGATTATTCACTTTGTCAAAATAATCACCTAACAGAAATACTTCATGTGTGCTCTAAGCAGTCTTATACGATTAGATTAATCTCTATAAAGTTGAGTGAGGACGAGACTTCCATAAGCACATTTGTGCGAAAAGGTTAGACAAGAATGGGAAGCGAGCGTCCTTGACGGATACTATTCTACATGCATTTCTCTCAGGACAGTTCATCGTAAGCTCTAAAAGACCATGGGAGGTCGAAAGTAAAGCCTTCAGCAGGCTAAGGAACTTGCTAGGCATCATTTCAAGTTTCAGAAACTACTGCAAAACGTCTCATTCTATGGAGTCGAGTCCAACCCTTAGGTCAAGAAATACGGTCAATATCGGCCAATGTCGGTTAATGTGTCTGTGTTCCAAGACCTGGTGGAGAATGAAGATTTTGTTGGTACACTCATGGGCAGGTCTGAAACCCGCCTGATTTTTTTCTAGTTTGTTGTTTTACAGTTCCAGTTAGGCATTGAATGATTGTGAAAGTTACGTTCATCAGACTCATTTCTCTAAGTTTTCCACAAGAAGACTGTACTTCTTTCTTGAAGACTGAGGCAGTTAACAACTGGGACCAGTCAAAGAGGGGCCATATCTGATTCCAATAATTCTGTTTAGTTGTTCTTTATTACTTAAAGTAAATAGGAACATGCTGCCCATTCTCATGTCAGGTTCTTTACAGCTTTTTCAACTTATGCAAGAGACAGGGGGCTTATATCAGTGTTCGATTCAGGATCCAATTAAACAACAGGGAATAGTAAACTAGTTGAAAGCCAGATGAACATTTTCTCGGAGTGTTTTATACATTTTTTCAGTCATCATCTATTCCAGTGAATCGTAAACGCATCTCCCACACCCCTAGTCTAATCATTGACTTTCACCTTACTTTAAACAA